AGGGAAACCCCTCTTCAAACTCATCGGCCAGATCCACCTGCGATCCCCACAAGCTCATTCCCTTCCGTGCCTCAGCAGTCCTGGATCGCAGGAAGCAGATGGCTGCCCCTCTTTCCTCGAAAAGAGAGACAAACGAGAGCGGAGCTTTTTTTTTTTCCTGGAAAAAACGCTTGCAGTGCACGCCGATTGCCTCCTCGGAGACATCGCGTGCGTTCTCTTTGCCCAAACAAAACAACGCATAGATCGATTGTGTGTCATCAGATGTTAAACAACGTCAACATGGATGCACACATCCTTAAATGCTTTGCTAGTGCTCGCCATAATGAGATAAATAGAGATCGCTCTTACCACAGAAATGCACGCTTCAAACAAAACAGTCAATGAAGACGAAGAAGAGAATGATGTGTAGCTCCCGGCGCCTATTTATACTATAGTCGCACCGGTAGTGACGTCATGGATGTCGCTGGCCAACGAGTTGGTGTTTTTTCAATGTATGCTTCAGACACGGGTCACGACGAGGCATTCCCCATAGCGACCCCTAGAGGACGCAGTTCGAAGTTCCCATGAAAGGGAACCAGTTCGGTTCAGACATGCTCTGTCAGTCATAGTAGGCAATCTGTTCGGTAGCTTCACGCTGAATCACGCATGCACAGTATCATCAGCTCATCGGTTCTCAAATCGGATGTGTCCAAAAGAAATGGTACTCAGTTCAGTGTACCGGTGATCTGTAAACCGATGCAACCGGTTCTTGACTCGAGAACCTCTCTAACCGGCATGCTGCATACGCAAGTTCAGTATATCATCAGCTGCTCTACTCGTGTTCTATTTACTACAAACTCAATTTGTGAATGTGTCATCGTTAACTATAATTACAGTACAGGTCATTCATAAATCATCCCTTATTCCTATTAAGGCCTCGGAATCAGAATCCTCAACTGAACAAAGTACACAGATTAGATACATTCATCTTTTAAAGAAAAAAACTAAAATAAAATATATTTATATTATCGCACTTATAACATGCTTTTCGTCCTCTTGAAAAATTACACGCATGCGCAATATCATCAGCTTATTGGTTCTCAATTGGACGCGTCTGAAAGAAACGATTCAGTGTACTGGGGATCCGAAAACCGATGCAACCGGTTCTTGACTCGGGAACGAGAACCGCTCCAACAGTGACCGTGTACCTTCGTTACCCAGCTCGCTGCACACACGCTGCTCTGCTCGTGTTCATCTTCAGTTCTCTCTTCACAGCAATTCAGTCAGTGTACTGTTTGAGTAAATTAATTACTCTGGAATATTGGTTTATTTAGACTCAGAGGGAGTGTCAGCCATGTTAAAAAGTGAATAACTTAAGTAATTTGTGGATTAATGCTTACTGGAGACGTCAACCGTTTCAAACGATTCAGCCCGATTTGGTGAACTGGTTCAACCGGTTCACCGGTTAAATCGAACGATTTGTTTGCGAACCGGACATCACTAGTGTACAATGTAGGTGATAGGGAACGATTCAGATAGTGTAAATATGCTTTCGATTGGTGCAAATGAGGTCTGGTTTCACGTTGTGTCACGCGAACCGCGGCAGCGCACACAGTCTGATCCGGACTTGCTCCGGTCCAGAGACGCAATCGCACGGAGCAGATCATATGCGTGAGTCGGCATATATTAAACACTTTTAAAACTACACAGCCTCAGCACAATTATGATCACTATTTTCTTTTACTAGAGCAGGGATCCTCAAATCTGGCCCATGAAATCCACTTTCCTGCAGAATTTAGCTCTAACCCAAACACACCTGAGCAAGCTAATTGATGTCTTCAGGATCATTAGAAAATCACAGGTAGGTGAGTTTAATCAGGGTTGGAGCTAAACTCTGCAGCGCATTGGCCCTCCAGGGCAAGACTTGAGGAACCCTGTACTAGAGTTTCATATTGAATCCAGGGGGTAATCTATTAGACTGTTGCTGTCAAATGCGGCTTTACCGAGCTCAACGGCTCTGACCCAGTGTTGCCAACTAATTTTCAGGGGAAGTTGCTAACGGAAGGTCGATTTGTTGCTAAAAGTT